GGTAGTAACAAATTAAAGTAATTTAAATCGACCGTAACTGGCAATATATAACGTCTTTACCGATATGAACATTGAAAAACTGTGAGCCAACTTAGTTTGTCGAATTCACCCAGCACATTTTCAGATCATCATCGAGACATTATTAATTTCGACTATAGGTTTTGGTCAGTTTATGTAGTAACAAATGTAGGTTTATAAATTATATTTGACCAAAAAACTTATTGTATTTATATTGATAAATAACGTTAATTATTAATTAATTAAAATTAATAATAAAATTAATGATAAAATGTTATAGCATACGATTTCTCAAAAATTCCCATATTAGTCCCCAATCGTACTTGGATAGTGGCGCGACCTCGCACTTGAGTAACTTAGCTCGTGAATTCGTCGTGATCAAAGATGCCAACAACATCGAACTGAGCTTAGCAAACAACAGCTCGACCGACATACTCGCGAAGGATGAAGTTTTGTTTAGCGCGGACGTTTTCAGTAAAATTAAAAACTTTCGTTTAAAGAACGCTTTACATGTTCTGGACTTGCGTACGAACCTATTGTCTGTTGGAAAAATTACTGAGAAAGGTTTTAGGGTAATTTTCGACAAAGATAAAGCCACGGTCAACGATAGCGAAGGCGTCGTCAGATTGATCGCCGATCGTATTGACGGGTTGCATTCTGTACGCGAAACATCGAGTCATCAAAACGGTAGTACTCGCAAAGCAGCATGTAATTCTACAGAAGTTAAGTCCTTAGAAACATGGCATCGACGTCTAGGACACTTAAACGAGAGATATCTTCTAAAAGCGGTAAAAAATCAAACAGTTTGCGGCATCGAGCTCAAGACACCGAAGGAGAAACTAAACTACGATATCTGCGTGAGAAGCAAAATGACGAGAACCCCTTTCGTCAAAAAAACTGAGCAGAATACACAGCTACTGGAAATCGTTAATTCCGACGTGTGTGGCCCCATGCGCGTCAAATCTCACGGAGCTAAATATTTCGTCGCTTTCATTGACGACTGCTTTAAGTGGTGCGAGGTACATTTTCTGAAAACTAAAGGCGAAGTGCTCAACGCATTTAAGGAGTACAAGGCCTTGGTTGAAAATTTGAGAGATAAGAAAATCAAATACCTCCAATCGGACAACGGAGGGAAATACAAAAATCTCGAATTTGATGCCTTCATTGCCGAGCACGGGATTGCGAGAAGATTTTCGATACCGTATCATCCAGAACAGAACGGCACCGCTGAGTGAAAGAACAGGACCCTACTGGATACTGCGAGGTGCCTTCTGTTGCAATCAGGGCTGCCAGCATCTTTCACGAAGTGTGGACAGGGAAGAAGCCTAACGTATCACATTTTCGAGAATTCGGATGTAAGGCATTCTGCTTAGATACGGAACCAGCCAAAGGAAAGTTCGACCCTCGCGGTAAACCGACAATTTTCCTAGAATACTCGAAATCTTCAAAAGGTTACAGAATGTAATTAACCGAAGAAAGAAAGCATGCACTATCGCGAGACGTGACTTTCATTCACTCCCCCATATGTACCTCCTCGACAACTCTTGAAGATTTCATCCCAGAAGATCTACATCGAAACGAAAAAACAACGAAGTCTCCCTCTGAGAACCGAATCGTGGAGGTCGAGTTAACTCCGCTAGATACTGAAGAACAGGAGCATGAACGCGACAGTCGAGTGCGAACAAGATCCCGACGGAAATATACATCGAGATCAACCGAGGAGAGGACCTGGTAGACCTCGGATAATTCGCACGGGACAAAGAGGGCGGCCTCGACTCCAATATCAGCCAATCCGAGAAGAGATAGTAAATGAAGAGCCGTTGTTCGCAGGCCTGACTAAAATACCGCTCAAGCAGGCTATGTCCAGTGAAGATGCAGAAGATTGGCGTCACGCCATAAGTTCAGAAGTGAAATTCATTCTCAATCACGACACATGGCAGTTGATAGATCGTCCGAAGGACAAAAAAGTTATCGGAAGTCGTTTTGTACTCCGGAACAAATACAACTCCGATGGAACTCTGGAGAGAAGAAAGGCTCGCTTGGTGGCAAAAGGCTTCGCACAGCGTCCTGGATTTCATTACAACGAGACCTTTGCTCGGATGGCCTGTGGCGCAAATGAGTTCACTTCGCCTATTGGTGGCACTAGCGGCTCAGGAAAACATGTGTATTCGACACTTGGACATAACCACAGCCTATCTCAACGGAGACATTGAAGAAGAACTGTTTATGGAGCCTCCACAATTTTTGGAAGAAGCCTTAGAATCCATCGTGGAAGACCCGTCTTGCGAAGAGGCCTTGAAGAAGAAAGCTGTTATCATGCTGAGAGAACTGTGAGCCGGGAATAAAGTATGCCTATTGAAAAAGGCGGACTTGTACGGACTTCGTCAGGCCGGAAGAAACTGGTATAAAAAACTCGACAAGTCTTTACAGAAAATTGGGGCGGAACCAACAAATGCCGATCCTTGTGTATACCGCATAAAAGAGAAAGAAGGATTTTCGTACATCCTTATTTATGTTGACGACATCGTGATCGTATCGAGGAACAAGAAGAAGTCTGAAGAGATTAAATAAAAACTAGCTCGTGACTTTGATGTAAAAAACTCGGGCGATGTCAAATATTGTCTGGGAATAGAGTTCTCACGAAGAGAAGACAAGATATTCATGAATCAACCAGAATACATCAAGGACGTGTTGAAGAGATTTGGAATGGAAGATTCTAAGACGGTTAGCACGCCAATGGATGTAAATTCGAGACTAAACAGACCAAACCACGAAGTAGATGACGAAGTGCGAAAGTTACCGTATCGAGAGCTAGGCCGGTATTCATAGTCGGTTCTTATTTCAAGACCGTCTTAAGTAATGTCTTAAGATGCTAATACGGCTCTGTGATTGGTTCATGACGTCTTAAGATTGTACTTAAGACGGTCTTAAATATAAGAACCGACTATGAATACCAGCCCTAGTGGGCTCGTTAATGTATCTGGCCATATCTATGAGGCCCAATCCCTTACAGAAATTTAATACTGTAAGTGATTATTTGGCTAGTGATTAATTACTTATTTTGAGTATTAAAAGTACTGTTTTTAATTATTTTAATATTCAAAATAAGTAATTAATTACTAGCCAAATAATCACTTACAGAATTAAATTTCTATAAGGGATATCGCACACGTCGTGAGCTATCTCAGTCAATTTAACGAAGACTTTGACAAGGAACATTGGGCGGCTGGGAAGCGTGTCCTAAAGTATCTGAAAGGTACTATTGACATCGGAATCGTTTTTGAACGGAGTTCAGCCCTTCTAACGGGATTCGTCGATTCTGACTGGGGGAACTGCCCCATGGACAGACGTTCATACACCGGATACGCGTTTCTCCTTTAGTGGCGGGCCAATCTCATGGGACTCCAAGAAGCAGAAGACGGTGGCCTTATCGTCAACGGAAGCCGAATACATGGCGATGGCCAAAGCTACTAAGGAAGCAATTTATTTAAATGAGTTTCTTTTTGAATTAAGTTTCAGAGACTTGGCCGGTGGAGCATTGTTTAACGACAACATCGGAGCCAAGAGACTTGCCGAAAACGCTACCTATCACGCGCGTAGCAAACATATAGACATTCGGCACCATTTCATCCGGGAAGCCTTGAAAAATCGAAGGATCAGCGTCCATCACCTACCTACGGAAGACATGCTGGCGGACATGATGACCAAGGCCCTACCTAAAAGAAAGCATTTAGAATGTCTAAAACTATGCGGTCTGAAGAAGTTATATTTTGATTCCCCATAGGATTTTCTGTAGATCGAGGGGGGGTGTTATAGCATACGATTTCTCAGTCCCCATATTAGTACGACCAATCGCCGTCCTCCCTAGTACGGCATCGCGACATCTCTCTCTCTCTCTCTCTCTCTCTCTCTCTCTCTCTCTCTCTCTCTCGCTCGCTCTGTTTTTACTGTCGCATGTCCGTTACGCTGTAAACATCGCTGAATTTGTGTACGCTAAAATATAAACTTTGTCACGGATATTATCGTCTCTGCACTCATCCATCCGATCCCATCCTAACATAAAATACGAAACAATATCAATAATAAAATAAAATATGAAATCTTTGTCATTTATAATTTATTACTTTATAGAAAAAACGATTGTTTCTTAATTGCTTATTCGCAGATAATTATCAGAGTTCACAAAGAGGAAGAGCCTTTGGATGCTCCACTACTCGCTCATCCACGATATTATTGTCTGGATTATAAATGCTACGTTATTTTGGGTGGACTAGGCGGTTTTGGTTTAGAGCTAGCAGATTGGTTGACTCTTCGAGGTGCAAAAAATCTGGTATTAACATCACGAACCGGGATGAGAACAGGTTATCAGCAATCAAGAGTAAAGCTATGGCGATCTTACGGTGTAGATGTACAGATTGTTACAGTCGATGATAATTTGAAACATGAAGATTGTGAATCCCTATTAAAATTTGCTGAAAAAAGAGCACCAGTGGATGCCATATTTAATCTTGCAGTTGTTTTAAAAGATTGTATATTTCAAAATCAATCACTTCAAACGTTCGAGGATTCATTCAAATCAAAAGCATGGATGACAAAAAAAATGGACGAATTGTCGAGGAAGATCTGTCTGCAACTTCGACATTTTGTCGTATTTTCCTCCGTGTCGTGTGGAAGAGGAAACGCAGGCCAGACAAATTATGGGATGGCTAATTCCGTAATGGAGAGAATTTGTGAAAAAAAGATGGAAGAAGGATTACATGGTTTAGCGATACAATGGGGTGCTGTTGGTGATGTCGGACTCGTGGCAGATATGCAAGAAAAAAATAAGAAATTGGTTATTGGAGGTACATTGCAACAACGAATATCTTCCTGTTTGGATACATTAGAAATATTTCTACTACAAGACCGCCCTGTCGTAAGCAGTATAGTTGTTGCTGAAAAAGCAAAAATTGGCGGATCATTGAATATTTCAGAAACGGTTGCTCATATCATGGGTAAGCAATTTTATACAAAGCTAAGCAATAAAGAAATATAATACCATGTAAGAGAAGTGAAATCAAAATGTTATTTCAAGTACAGTTATTCGAATAAGGAGTATCTCAAAAAGTTTTTTTTTTTTTTTAATTAAGTTTATAGAAATACTCTTATTGTTTTGAGAAACTATCTGTCACAATTGCAATAGACTTAACTTTTTAAATTTTAGGAAGTTCCTACGCGCTTTTCTCATTTAAATTTATTATATAACTTAGGTTTTAATCAAAATTTAAATTGCAATTAGTATTTAGAAAAAATAGGAGTTGTTTCTTCTTAAAATATAGTCAGCAATGAGGTGGGATATCTCGAGAAAGGAAAAAAAGATTGAAATTAATAGGAAAAAAAAAGTAAAAAATGACGCTTGCCCTTTTACTCAAACATAATAGGGGTATTCAAATAAGTTAAAGTTTAACGGTTTGACAGGTTATGTCGGGTTAAAGTCGAGTAAAAAGTTAATTTTTAAAAGTTAATTTTTATTTTGGGTTACTTTTAACCCAAAGATTAATGTGATAGGTTAATGAGTCACTTATGTATTTTGCATAACCTTAAAGAGTAGCGCGCCCAAAGTTAATTAATTAACTTTTTACTCGACTTTAACCCGACATAACCTGTCAAACCATTAAACTTTAACTTATTTGAATACCCCTATTCAGTATAAATATATAGACGGGTTAAATCACAAAATCCTCCATATTCTTTATTGTGCTATCAGCTATTTAATAAAATATGTATTAGGCATTTTATAAGTCGAGATATTTGCATTTCATTTTTGGATTAAATCAGTATAACGGCTTTAATATACACCAGTGAGTACTAGTGCGTTTAACTAACTTTATTATAGGCCCGATTTGCGGCGCAGTTATGTTATAACATCGATATTATAACTTCGATGTAAATTGGACCATGTAAACGTAGACAATGATGGGTAATTATGCAGTTTAGGGGAAGCACCTCCGATGACCTTGACCTTGACATATGTTGTCAAGGTCACCCTCCTGAGTGACCTTCAAAAGATTTTAGCCGTCGCTCGTTTTTTATTAAAAAATTATAAACAAAAAAAGTTTCGAAAATATAGCAGTTATTTTAAGTACTGAGAGCCATAAACGACTAATATTACGTTTTTCTTTAAAGCGGAGAATACTTTATTTCGCGAGAAAATCGCTGCTTTACCAAAACACAACATTTAAAACAGTAAATTGTTGATAAATTGAAGTCTTTTTGTTAAAGCAGAGAATACTTTATTTTGCAAAAAAGTCGCTGCTTTACCAAAACACAACATTTAAAGCAGTAAATTGTTGATAAATTGAAGTCTTTTTGTTAAAGCAGAGAATACTTTATTTTGCGAAAAAGTCGCTGCTTTACCAAAACACAACATTTAAAGCAGTAAATCGTTGATCACTAATCTACATAGGTTAGTTGACGCGCTTTAAAAGTATTTAAGTGTTTAAAGCGCGTCAACTAACTTATATGTGCTATATTTTCCAAATTTTTTTTGTTAATAACTTTTTAACGAATAACGAGCGACGGCTAAAACCTTCTGAAGGTCACTCGGTGTCATGACCTTGACAACATATATCAAGGTCATTGAAATCAGTGAGATCGCCAAACTTTTTTTTGTTAATAACTTTTTAATAAAAAACGAGCGACGGCTAAAACCTTCTGACGGTCACTCAGGAGGGTGACCTTGACAACATATGTCAAGGTCAAGGTCATCGGAGGTGCTTCCCCTAAACTGCATAATTACCATTATTTCTACAATTATTTTAAAAATATACGATACAAGAAAACTCTTTTTAATAAAAAATTCTAATTTTATTATTCTTACATTATTACAAAAATGATTTAAGACAATTTTCCTTAGGAATTTGTTGCTTCAAGCTTTCTGGAAAAAACAAAAAAGTAAAATTTTTCAAGGTAAATCTGAAGGAGAGCTCCCTCCTCACCGATTTCGCTAAATTTAGGCTTAATCGAAGCGTTTTTGCACAAAACGAACGAATCTGGCAGAAAAAAGCCCCGCTCTGCCCCGCGAAGCGAGATATTAACTGTTAAAGTTGACGACTATCAGGTTATATGAGACCTGTCATACCGACGCGATGTAGCGACTACGGACATGCTCCGCGACCACATGCGCATGTCCCGTGGTCACGTGATGTGGTAAATCTGAAGGAGAGCTCGAAGCAGAGAATTGTTGGTATATGAAAAGTACATATAAATATGAACTTTTCATATACTAACTATTCTCTGCTTTAACAATTTGATTTCTGTTTCGTTAACTTCAACACTTAATATCTGTAACATAAATAATTTATTAAAGCAGAAAATAGTTGATATATGAAAAGTAAATATTTATGTGTACTTTTCATATACCAACTATTCTCTGCTTTAACAAATTATTCATGTTTCGTTAACTTAAATGCTTAATATTTGTAATAGAAATAATTTGTTAAAGCAGAGAATAGTTGGTATATGAAAAGTACATGTAAATATGAACTTTTCATATACCAACAATTCTCTGCTTTAACAATTTTATTTCTGTTTCGTTAACTTCAACGCTTAATATCTGTAACAGAAATAATTTGTGTTCCAAAATATTCTCTGTTGTAATCAAAACCACAAACTTGAAAACAATATATTAAATTTTATTATTTATTAATTGGATTAAAGTTGAGATCTAACATTTCTTTAAAATAAACGTGATAACTGTATACACGGCTGCATCAAATATGTCCGAATTGCTACAAATTATAAAAAACATAATTAATACTTATTTGATATATATATCAATTGAAATTAAAACAATTACCTCGTGATTTAATAGCTAAATCTATCCTTAATATTGCGCTTCCTTTCCGCTGTATACGCATTTTTAAACGTAAAATTTAATATATCGTGCAACAAATCTTCGGATACTGCATTTAGATATGAAAAATTGACAAGGATCATTATCTATTGTGATCTTTTAGATTTTTATCCCAAAACATTTTTCGGATGAATTTGGGCCATGTTTTTGCATCGCCAACAACATCTTGAACCAGTAGCCACGGATTACTATATAATTGCTCTACTGAATATGGCATTATAAATATTTTGGAACTGCACAGAACAATATATAATATGTCATTGAGGTTGAGCGCTCAAGTACATCACGTGACCACGGGACATGCGCGCATGTGGTCGCGGAGCATGTCCGTAGTCGCTACATCGCGTCGGTATGACAGGTCTCATAACCTGATAGTCGTCAAATTTAACAGTTAATATCTCGCTTCGCGGGGCAGAGCGGGGCTTTTTTCTGCCAGATTCGTTCGTTTTGTGCAAAAACGCGTCGATTAAGCCTAAATTCAGCGAAATCAGTGAAGAGGGAGCTCTCCTTCAGATTTACCAAAAACACATTTTTATGTATAACCACTTATTTGTCAAAAATCCTTTTTTAATGACATATATCTATAGATCGTCACTGTGTTCGTTAGTTTCGCTCCTTCACGACGGCGAACTTGAACAAAATGTTTTACGCTCGTCGAGTAAGCTCACCGTCGTAGCACTATCGCGCACTCCTCACTCGCGCACGTACTCCGCGGAATTCGCGTAAGGAAAAGGAACACAGAGAAACTTGAGAAATGCGTTTATTCAAAGCTCGTAAAACAGAACGCGTGCGGATTCCAAAAATCCGCCAGACAGAAAATCAATAATCTCATAAACAAACTCCCGTTGTCAAGGAGCGCGCTTCACAGCTTTCCGCGACTTCTCTACCCAGTGTCCAGCACGGGTGCAACAATATAAAAAATGTAACAATTTTATTTCAGGAGTTCAAATAGAGTAAAATTAATTTAATTATATATAATTTTTATTTTTATATCAAAATAGGACTGAGGAACATAAACGCAGTACCACCCAATGTGCCACTGGCCGAAATGGGTATGGATTCGATGATGGCAGTGGAAATTAACCAAACATTGGAAAGAGAATTTGATATTTCCTTGACAGCGCAAGACATTAGAAAACTAAATTTTGCTAAACTTAGACAAATGACAATTACAACCGAGCAAGGAAAGACACATAATACAAACAAAATTAATAAAGATTTTAACATGCTGTTTCGAAGAATGGAGAATTCAGATTTTGTTCCAGATATTCTTGTAGAACTTGCTACAAAAAAGGAGATTGGTAGGAGCACTGTTTTTCTCTTACCAGGAATCGAAGGATATTCAAGTGTATATAAGTCTATAGCATCAGAAATCAAATCTTCGGCAACGTGTTTGCAACATGGTCTACTTAATATTCCTGACGAAAGTCATTCAGTGATGAAGTCAGCCGCTTATTTGCTGCCTGTAAGAAGATTAACGTTACTTATAAGACATTTATTTTAATTATTTTTAAATAAATTTATACATATATATAAGTAATATCTAACAATTACAAGTTTTTTATATTATTATAGCTTACATATACATTTATATTTATTTTCTTAGCACTTATTGAAAAAAATGAAAGATCAAAAGGAATTTCTAATAGTGGGTTATTCGTTCGGATCCTTAATTGCCATCGAATTAGCAAGATTATTAGAAGCTAATGATTTCTCAGGACGACTAATACTAATAGATGGAGCTCCTGACCAAATGAAACTTTGGACTAATCAATATTTGGACAGTACTTCGCCAGAAGAGTTACAAAACATGATCTTACTTGGTTTATTAGAAATGTACACTACAATTAACAAGAAAACGGTTAGTAAATTATAAAAAACATATTTTAATTTTTTATTGTAAAAATTATATATGTAATTTTAATCTTATATAAATTTAAATAAAATGACAATATATGCATAAAATAACTTATTGGAACATGAATATTCCTTGTATTTAAATTTTAAAATAGTAAAACAAAATGTTTTGCATATTTGCATGTATATATATGTATATATATATGTATTTTTTTATTTACAGCTTGCGTTAGAGTTGAATAAATGTAATACATGGGAAGAAAAATTAAAACTATTTCATGCTTACTTCCCGAATGAGGTAAATGTATTGACAACCAAAAATCAAAAACTTTTGTATTTCACAGTTTACAATCATATAGTCGCTATACAGAATTATGATATTTCTTCATTACCTCGCCTTAAATCACCTATAACATTGCTAAAACCTACATTTCCGATTGTCTCTGTTACTGAAGAGAATTATGGTCTACATAAGGTAAATAAATATCTAATTTAGATATTTTTCAAATAAGACGATAAATTTTTAGAAATAACAAAAAGTTTTATAACAAAAATATAATTTATTTTTAGGTTACCGAAGGTAGAGTGCAATTTCATTATGTAGAAGGTAATCATATCACAATAATGGACAACGACAAAATCATATCAGCTATTAACGAAGAATGGATAGAAGATCTAAATCGATAAATGTATATACTTTATTAGGATGTAGTAACATAATATCTGACACATGATATGTAAAACATATACGGGTGTCAGAAATAAAAGTATCCAGCCGAATGCCTGGGGTAGATTGGGTCAAATTGAAGAGAAAAGTCATTTACCATCTTGCAAAATTTGCAATAGTTAACGAGTTATTAATTGAAACGTCTGAGCGAATGAGAGCACAAGGAGCGTAGGCGGGTCTCGGCTGGCACGGTGCGTTATTGCGCGCGGTGAGCGGTGAGGGGCGAGCGGCGAGCGGCGAGAGACGAGAGACGAGAGGCGAGCGGCGCGCGACGGATGACATACACTGCAGCGAAAAAGTATTAGAGCCACCACACGTATTGCACAGGCATTGCCATAGCGTCTTACGCCTTAGTATATTTTAACTTGAATTATGTGTAATAGAAACATTTAATTTTAGTAAATTTAATTATTTTGTATGTCAAAGTTTACGATTATTTAAAGCTTTACTTTAACTTTTGTTTATGTTAAAATAATTTTAAAAAATCTGGATTTTTTAAAAAATAATTTTGTTAAAAGAACTCAAAATAATATTTAATTTCTACATGACATACATAAAATGTTAAGTTATCACGTTGACATAAATGTAACACATAAAAATGTTAAGAAAATAATAACATAGCTGTTTTATGTTTATTTTACATTGAAGTAATAATTAAATTTTGATAACACACAAGAAAATTTTAACGTATAGACCGATACACACGATTTTTTGCTGCGTACGTAACGCAAGATTCTCGTACGTAATTTCTGTACGTAAGGCGTAAGATACTACGGCAATATGCGCTGGCTCTTAGCCTCTTGTCTTTTCGATGGCAGGAAAATGATACGCTATCATTTCCACACCACCTTACGGTATAATAGATAGCTTGGTACGTTTTTTTTATAGTGGTTTCCCCGGTAGGCCTAATCCACTCTCATTATTTAATGCAAAAATTGTTCGAAATGCCGTCCTCTCTCTCGTACGCAGAGTTTGGCCCTTCTTACAATATTGCGCGTTGCACGGTGCCCCATATCCGGCGTAATAGTATCGAAGGCCGCAACAATAGCTTCACGTATATACCTCGTTTTCTCCACCATTACGCTGGTGCTCGATTAAAATTTTATATACATACAAAAAAGTCTAATACATTCAAATCTAAGCGATCGTGCCGGCCAGGCGATTGGACCACTACGACCCATCCACCTATCCGGAAAACGCGCGTTTAATACTTCGTGCACTTGAAGACAAAAATAAGTGGGAACTCGCGTCGTGCTGAAAAATTAGTTGCGCCCGTACGCGAAGGGGCACATCCGCGAGAAGCACTGGCAATTTGTTTTCGACAAAATTAGTATAAATATCGCCAGTTAAACGCGGTGGGAGGAAATATGGACCGATCTGGAAATAATAAATGAAAAATGTTTCTTCACTTAAACAGCAAGAGAAAATTGCTTTCTTTCTACTTTTACTTACCTACCACTTGATTCCCGATTACTCCCGTCCATACGTTTATGGACGTTTATAGACAATATTGAAATCTGTCTTCACGGACGACGTGCGGGTTTTCATCCGACCAATACACAATTTCGGGAATTGAATACGCCGTTTGGTGTAAACTTCGCTTCGTCGGTCCACAGAATATGATATCCGAGAAAGATAAATTCCGTCGACATTACGCGAGGAACCCTACGTGGCCTACGTATGTTTTTTTTCGACAGTTTTTATAATTATTGTAAACTCAAATTATCGTATTGTACACTCAATTATATATATATATATATATATATATATATATATAATATAAAAAGTTGATAATGACAATACCTTCACAAAAATATATCCATGGTTCTAGATCTCGCGGTAAAAGCTGTTGCACCCGCTATGGTAGTGGTACGGATGCAATTAATTCTCTCGTAAAGTGCGATGCACCTCGTACCGAGAGAGATGAAATTCGCATGCTGCACGACGCACGCTGGTCCTGAGATTTTCATAAAATGCGTCGAATATTTCTCTCTTTGTCTTGAACACGACAACGTACTGGTATACTTCTTGTATTATGCACAAAACACCCTGTCTCACGCAATTTTTGCACAACACAAAAAATAGTACGATGTGTTGGATGCACACGCCCGGAAAATCGTTCCGCATATATCCAAGCCGCGGCACGCGTATTTTCACCTGCTAGCCCGTAGGCCACTATCATATCGGTATATTCCTCCGAAGTAAATCGCATTGTCGCTGTCTATTACTATGCGAAGGTTTATACGCGACTGTACAAGAAGTTATCGTGTAGGCGAATCTAGGCAGACACAATTGACTTTTGGCGACTGTAGGCAAAAGAAAAACATACGCGGGAATTTTTTAACAAAACTTGTAGCTCTTTGTAGCTCTTGTTGAGACAAACCTAACAATATGTTTTAATTTAGGATTTTCTTGATTTTTTCATGAGTCACACAATTTCTTTAATTTTGAAGTATTAGTGTTTCATGTCGGGAGGTACTCATGATATGAGATCTCTTTATATTTCGTTGAGCGAGAGATTGACCATAGTCTGTGCATAAACAGGCAAAATGGGGAGATCGTGGCGCGCTACTAACAATAAATGCTACGTAAATACGAAACTGGTTGAAGTTTGGAACGTTCTTGAAGCGATTTTTTTTAAATAATTTGTCCTATTCCTCCTTTGGCACAAAGGAACTTCTATATATAAGTGTCACACACAAAATACACATAAGAGACTTATCCCATATATTCTGCGGAAAACACTCTTATACTCAAAAAACCTACTCCCAGATTATTTAAAACAAAAATTATTTTAATTCTATCTTTTTATTATATTATATGAGTATTATGTAAATTATGTGACTAAATTTTGAGGATGACACTTAGAAGTCTCTGTGCCAAAGAATAAATAGAACAAATTATTTTTAAAAAATTGCTC